AATGAAAATTTAGTGATATACATCTATGTGGGATAGTAAGGCAATATTTATGTTACATACCACTATTTGGTCCCTATGCCTGGAGGTCAAGGTCACATTTAGGTCATAGGTCAAAAAAAACATCAGGGCACTTCTGATTTGATAAAGATAACTCAATATAAGTTATATATGCAAGATTGTTATGCGGTATACTATGAAGTACCACTATGGGATCTGTATAGTCAAGCTCAAGGTCTCATTAAGTTCAAAGGTCAAATAATTATTACCCTGTATACCTCCAAAGGCAAGTGATGTGCAGAAGGAAGACAAGCTTTGTTGCATACCTCTTTGGTTGTTCATTCACTTTACACAGTTACATACGTAAACTCAGAGATAATAATAGTGCCAGGCATGATAAATTTCAGTTAAAGATACATGTATCATGCAACCTTTATTCCAATCCCAAATGAATTTTTTGGGGAGCACAATCCATCAGTTTTAGTGATTTTCTTATTTCTTTATATTCAAGTATTGATGGAGGAATATTTACCATACAGTATACAGGAACAAAGGCTCAAGTGACCTAAACACTTTTCTTCCAAACGTATATTTTTTGAATTCTTCTTAGTAAGCAGTGAATTCATGAATTTCTTTCAAACTTACTAAGAATCATCATTAGTGGAAGACGTTATCAAATTGTAAATTTGGCATTCCTGCCCCATTCCCAGGTGACCAATGTATCAGAAATCTTCTTCTCCAGATTCAGATGTACTAGAATCAACACTCTTTTGTGAATGAAAAGATGCTTAGATGCTTTGTCTAAATTGTAAATTTCAGGAAATAATTCAAACTTGGTTTGATTAGTAATGATGAGAGCGATATAAGGAAATAAGATCCTACCTTGCCCCTTGGGTTGGAGGAACAGGGTTCAAAGGGGGAAAATTGACTAAAATTTCAAAACGCCTCTTCCTCGGACTCGGACTGAATTGTAAATTTATTAACTCCTGATCATCAGTTCTCCCTTTGGGAAGCTGAGGTAAAGTTTACTAGATGTGCCGTTACAGTCAGTACCGTCATTGCTGTGAATGAAAAAGTCTTAAGGGTGACAGAGTTATTTCCCTTTGTCAATTGTGAACAGCATCTGTATCGGTAGTGTTTATAGATAATAAGGCGAAAATGTAGATTTCACTTGCAAAACACACACCATGCGGTCGGCCATTGTACAAGCTCTTCTTCTTTTCTGGAAGTTTGTGATACCATAATGTAAGTTTTGTACCTTTGTAATGATTAACATGTTATTTTACTGTGTAATTGAGACTGTTATGCTATTGTCATAGAGATGTAAAGATGTTAACCCTGGCATTGTCGCGATAAACATTGCCATATGTGGTTAATTCCGTCAGTTTAGTCAGACATGTCGACCAATTACATTGTCCATGATAATTCATACAATTCTTGGGTCGAGTTGACCTTTGGCGAATTATTAGTGACATCATTAGGAAGAGTTAATACTGTAATAATTACTGTTAAATATACTAATAGAAGTTCATTTCTATTTGTTGCAGTCCTTTACTTCAATACAACAATAAATTGCCACGCTCTAAAAACGTGGCAAACTTTGGGGGTTTTGTGTATCACCCAAGGCCAAAACGTGCAGGCACACTAGACTTTATGCAGGAAAATAGCACTTTTTGGTATATTTTGTCAATTTTAAGCAGGAAATAATTCAAATTTAGTTGGAAAAATTATAAGCTGGAGGGGTGGGGCCCAAAAATGGAAAACTGGTTAAAACTTTAAAAGTTTTTTCCTTGCACTAGGATGTACTAGAATCTTATTCTCCACATGGATGAAAAGGCCCCTATCTGCTTTATCTGAATTGTTATTTTTTTTCTATTTTTCTCTAAGGGAGAGTAATGTTTATTATTGCTTAAACAAGTATAAAGGAAAGAACACTTTTTGGTACGTTTTATCCACATTAACCATGAAATAATTAAAACTTGGTTGGAATAATTATGATGAAATTGAAATTCGATGGTTTCAGAAAGTAAGGTACCAAACAGCTACCCAAAAGTAAAAACAAAAATTGCTAAATAATAAACTATAACTTTTCATTCAATACCATTGTTTAAACATGCATTATGTTTGGATCAAAACGATTAGTCTAAAAGTTTTACCAGTGCACTTTACTTCAGCAATATAATTATCACGCATTATTCAAATTAGAATCTATTATCATTTTGCTATAATGTACATCAAATCATTTGGATCAGTTCTCTGATATTCTGAACCTAACACATATTACATTGGGTCCTTTTCTACATGTAAAGACATTATTGAAAAAAATGAACACATTTCCTGCTCTAAACTATATATGGTGGGAATGCAGAACATGCATAATTTCTGCACAACTGCATGGTATAATGCAATTCCTGTAGGAAATCTAGGTATAATGTATATCTAAAGGATACATACAGTGCAGTTTCCATACTTGCCGACAATTCCAATTTTGGAGGGAGACAACTAATTTTGAACCCTTGAATTTTAACATTGTTCAACCAGTGAACTTGTTAACTATTTTCAAATTCTGAGATCTGATTATTTCATTTGAGAACTCAACATATTTCAGTGCTAGAAGTCTGGATCCAATGCACTGTTATCTTTATTTTCCATATCATAATTAAGTTACATCCAAGACATCTATAATGTAGGTATCATTTATTAAAGGTGGTCGATGTTGGGATTTTAAATAAACATAATTTAGTGTGTGTTGGCAGACGAGGCTAGTACCTGAAGGCGCACTGATTCATGCAGGCTCTCGTGTGCATACTCAAGCTGTACATACTGTTGTTGTTGTTGTTTTGTGTGGGTTTTTTTAACAGTTGCTTATTTGTTAGTCATGAAATTCATAAAAATAGTTAAAAGATGTAATGTACCTGTAATATATAAATCATTTTTCATTAATGATGCTACATCTATACTCATGTAGTTAATATAGCCATTAATATCTCATGCTTCATATGCTATCTTATAACGTTTTTTTGTTTTTTTATTATTATCTTAAGTCTTTTCCAATGCGAATCTCCATACAGATCAATATTGGTTATTATCATCTTTATTCACCCCGATCCACGCTCCTGTGTCCACCATCTGTATATATACTGCCTACCCATATGATGATTCACACTCTCTCTATCACTCGACCATAGCTCTTACTTTTCTGCACTGTTCTCACATACATATCCCCTCCCCCCAATCCCTCTGGTAATGCCTACATATCCCCTCCCCCAATCCCTCTGGTAATGCCTAAGTCATCGTCTTCATTGTATTGTGGATCCTTTTCACAGTTTACACGATTTCTTTTCTAGGTAACCCCCCATCCCATGTATATTTGTACAATAAAATATGTTTAAACTAAAATAAACTCTATGAGAGTTTGTTAGTCATTTGTAGTACAATAAACAGGGGGGGGTTCCAGTGGTTCCGGGTTGTTTCGCCCCAAATCCCGTTCGCCCTAGGTTGTTTCGCACTAGGTTGTTTCACCTAGGGCAAAACATTGTTTGGTATTTTCTTTTTTTTCTTTTCATTTTTATTTGTTTTAAGTCACAAATTAAGTCTTCTTAGTCTTCCATATCATTAAAATCAGTTTTATTAAAAAAAATGTGTTTGTGTTGTTTTTAAGTACATTAAATTCATTTTAATTGTAAAGCAAAACAAGAGGCCCAATGGGCCTGCATCGCTCACCTGGTATTAATCCCACACTTGTAATCTTAAAAGTGGACTAAAATACAGCTACAGGCAGAATATCAGTGTTTGATTCATAAGAACCTATTAAAAGATTTAAACATATGATGCCTGTGACCTTGAATGTCAAACAAGGGCATTATGTTGAAAGTGGGTAAAGGTCATTCATTTGACGAACTTGGTAGCCCTTCATCCTAGCGAGCTACAGGCCCAATATCAGTACCCTGGGGCTTTTGTTTATTGAGAAGAATTTGTTTGAAGATTTTACGACATTTAACCCCTGTGACCTTGAAAGTGGGTCAAAGTCATTCATTTGAACAAACTTTGTAGCCCTTCATCTCAGCATGCTACTGGCCAAATATCATCACCCTGGGCATTTTGGTTATTCAGAAGCAGTTGTTTAATGTTTTTAACATATTTGACCCCTGTGACCTTGAATATAAGTCAAAGTCATTCACCTTAACAAACATAGTAGTCCTTGATCCAAGCATGCTACTGACTAAATATCAACTTCGTGAGCCTTTTGGTTATTCAGACGAGTTGTTTAAATATTTTTAACATATTTGCTCCTTGTGACCTTGAATATGATTCAAGGTCATACATTTAAACAAACTTGTTAGCCCTTGATCCTAGTATGCTACTGACTAAATAGCATCACCTTTGACTTTTTGATTATTCAGAAGAAGTTGTTTAAAGTATTTAACATATTTGACCCCTGTGACCTTGAATATGGGTGAAGGTCATGCATTTGAACAAACTCTGTAGCCTTTCATCTCAGCATGCTACTGGCCAAATATCATCACCCTGTGCATTTTGGTTATTCAGAAGAAGTTGTTTAAAGTTTTTAACATATTTGACCCCTGTGATCTTGAATATGGGTGAAGGTCATTTATTTGAACAAACTTTGTAGTCATTTATCTCAGCATGCTTCTGGCCAAATATCGACACTTTAGGCCTTTCGGTTATTAAGAAGAAGTCGTTTAAAGTAAAATATTGATGCTGGACGGACGGACGGGTGACGGACGCCGCGCCACGGCATAAGCTCACTTGGCACTTCGTGCCAGGTGAGCTGAAAACATTGTCTTACTCTGTTCATCTAAATTTTCATTGGCAAGGACTGCTGTCAAAATTTTCAATCCTTCTTTTTGAGAAAATTGATAAGACAATACACTCTGGTAACAGCAAAATTCCTTACAAAACAAATCATTCAACGAAAAAACAACAACTTTTTGCTTGTAAGGAAATAGTGTTAAATGACATGAAATGATGATGTTATGTACCTGTTTCCCTCGGATTGTGACTGGATACTTTAAACCATCTGACTTTCCACTCTCATTTTCCTTGGTCACATCAAATTTGTTCACCTCAAACCCTGTAAAGACCTTCCCACCACGATTCTGGAAAAACTTGCCATAAGACTGGGCCACTACCTTGTAGTCTATGATTCCTGTATGTGGGGAGTACACAGCTTTTACTCCCTGTAACATAAATATGCTGTCAACATTCTGTTTATTTACTGTCAAAACATCCTAATATACTGTCAACATACTGTATATATATGGTCAACACATCTAAATGTGTACTGTCAACTTGCTTTATATCTACGGTCAACACATCTAAATGTGTACTGTCAACTTGCTGTATATGTACTGCCAACACATCTAAATGTGTACTGTCAACATGCTGTATATGTACTGTCAACACATCTAAATGTGTACTGTCCACTTGCTGTATATTATTATACTGTCACCACATCTAAATGTGTACTGTCAACTTGCTTTATATCTACGGACAACACATCTAAATGTGTACTGTCAGCTTGCTTTATATCTACGGTCAACACATCTAAATGTGTACTGTCCACTTGCTGTATATTATTATACTGTCAAAACATCTAAATGTGTACTGTCAACTTACCGTTTATTATTATACTGCCAACACATCTAAATGTGTTTTGTCAACTTGCTGTATATGTACTGTCAGCACATCTAAATGTGTACTGTCAACTTGCTTTATATCTACGGTCAACACATGTAAATGTGTACTGTCAACTTGCTGTATATCTACTGTCAACACATCTAAATGTGTACTGTCCACTTGCTGTATATTATTATACTGTCAAAACATCTAAATGTGTACTGTCAACTTGCTTTATATCTACGGTCAACACATCTAAATGTGTACTGTCAACATGCTGTATATGTACTGTCAACACATCTAAATGTGTGCTGTCAACTTGCTGTATATTATTATACTGTCAAAACATCTAAATGTGTACTGTCAACTTGCTTTATATCTACGGTCAACACATCTAAATGTGTACTGTCAACATGCTGTATATAAACTGTCAACACATCTAAATGTGTACTGTCCACTTGCTGTATATTATTATACTGTCAACACGTCTAAATGTGTACTGTCAACTTGCTGCTTATTATTATACTGTCAACACATCTAAATGTGTACTGTCAACTTACTGTTTATTATTATACTGCCAACACATCTAAATGTGTACTGTCAACTTGCTGTATATGTTCTGCCAACTCATCTAAATGTGTACTGTCAGCTTGCTGTATATGTTCTGCCAGCACATCTAAATGTGCACTGTCATCTTGCTGTATATAATTATCCTGTCAACACATCTAAATGTGTACTGTCAACTTGCTGTATATGTTCTGCCAACACATCTAAATGTGTACTGTCAACTTGCTGTATATAATTATTCTGTCAACACATCTAAATGTGTACTGTCAACTTGCTGTTTATTATTATACTGTCAACACATCTAAATGTGTACTGTCAACTTGCTGTATATAATTATCCTGTCAACACATCTAAATGTGTAATGTCAACTTGCTGGTTATTAAATGTCAACACATCTAAACGTGGACTGTCAACTTGCTGTATATTATTATTCTGTCAACACATCTACATGTGTACTGTCAACTTGCTGGTTATTAACTGTCAACACATCTAAAGGTGTACTGTCAACTTGCTGTATATGTACTGTCAACACATCTAAATGTGTACTGTCAACTTGCTGGTTATTAACTGTCAACACATCTAAACGTGTACTGTCAACTTGCTGTATATGTACTGCCAACATGCTGTACATGTATGTTCTGTCAAATTGCTGTATTTGTTCTGTCAGCTTGCTGTTTCTGTAATGTGAACATTCTGTGTACATCTTATAATATACCATCAACATGCTGTATATACTTTAACATGGCTTTTTTTTGTACTGTCAACGTTTAACATGCTTTGTTAAATGCAACTGTGAATCTAATTAGTCTGAATGTTTCGCTTTAAATAAAATTCCTGGATAAAAACTTACTATATTATAAACATTCCTTTTTGGCCTTGTATAATAATATTACAATGCCTTTAGGATGTTTGTAACATATCCCAGTACAATGTAGTTGTGTAAGTGTTACCTACCACACAATTAGGTTCTATTTCCTTTATGCCATCCGCATCCACCACACGTAGGTCTTTTACTCCATTTTCTATCCCTCTCTCAAGTAATGCATCAAGTCGAGGTATTTCTTCGTTATTTACGGCAACAATCAACTGTTAACAGATTGCCATACCAAAGGTGCAAATGGTAAAATTGGTAATATTCACCAAAAACTCATTAATCAGGTACATTCTTCATTATATACTATCAATTTTTATCATGTAGTAATAATCTATATTCACATGTATTGAACTTATTACAATCTGAAATACAGAAATTTAAAAGTCATCTGGGACATCGAAGACTTAAATTTCCTAAGGTACAGATCCACATTTGTATAAAGGGTACATTGTTTACCTTTCCACATTTCTTGTAGGGTACACTGTTTTCGTCACAGTATTTGTAGAGGAGATCCAGACCCTCCACACACAGCTTGGCCTTCATAGACCCTGGCTGGTAGTAGATCCCAGCATGGATGACCCCACTGTTGTGTCCACTCTGGTGGGCAGCTGTAGAGTATTAAAAGTCAAATAGGGACCACTTTAAGTAGGCTAAAATTTACATGTTATATACCTTAGATAAGCTAAAGTTTACACCTTAAATAGGCTAAAGTTTACATGTCGTATAGGGACACCTTAGATAGGCTAAAGTTTACATGTCATATACGGACCACCTTAGATAGGCTAAAGTTTACATGTCATATAGGGACCACCTTAGATAGGATAAAGTTTACATTTCATATAGGGACCACCTCAGATAAGCTAAAGTTTACACCTTAAATAGGATAAAGTTTACATGTTATATAGGGACCACCTTGAATAGGCTAAAGTTTTCATGTTATATAGGGAAAACCTTCGATAGGCTAAAGTTTACATGAGTTTACATGTCATATACCTTAGATAGGATAAAGTTTTCATGTCATATAGGGACCATCTCAGATAGCATGTCATATAGGGACCTCCTTAGATAGGCTAAAGCTTACATGTCGTATAAGGTCCATCTCAGATAGGCTACAGTTTACATGTCATATAAGGACCATCTCAGATAGCATGTCATATAGGGACCACCTCAGATACGCTAAAGTTTACATGTCCTATAAGGACCATCTCAGCTAAAGTTTACATGTCCTATAAGGACCATCTCAGATAGCATGTCATATAGGGACCACCTCAGATAGACTAAAGTTTACATATCGTATAAGGACCATCTCAATAGGGACCACCTTAGAAAGGCTATAGTTTACATGGGATATAGGGACCACCTTAGATAGGCTATAGTTTACATGTCATATAGGAACCACCTTAGATAGGATAAAGTTTACATGTCATATAGGGACCACCTTAGATAGTCTAAAGTTTACATGTACTATCGGAACCACCTTAGATAGGCTCTAGTTAACATGTCATATAGGGACCAACTTAGATAAGCTAAGGTTACATGTCATATACGTTAGATAGGATAAAGGTTACATGTCATATACCTAAGATAGGATAAAGTTTTCATGTCATATAGGAACCACCATAGATAGGATAAAGTTTACGTGTCATATAGGAACCACCTTAGATAGGCTATAGTTTACATGTCATATAGGGACAACCTTAGATAGGCTATAGTTTACATGTCATATAGGGACCAACTTAGATAAGCTAAAGTTTACATGTCATATACCTTAGATAGGATAAAGTTTACATGTCATATAGGAACCACCTTAGATAGGCTATAGTTTACATGTCATATAGGGACCACCTTAGATAGGCTCTAGTTAACATGCCATATAGGGACCACCTTAGATAGGCTAAAGTTTACATGTCATATAGGGACCACCTTAGATAGGCTCTAGTTAACATGTCATATAGGGACCACCTTAGATAGGCTAAAGTTTACATGTCATATAGGGACCACCTTGAATAGGCTAAAGTTTACATGTTATATAGGGAAAACCTTCGATAGGCTAAAGTTTACATGTCATATAGGGACCACCTTGTCCTTAGATAGGCTATAGTTTACATGTTATATAGGGACCACCTTGTCCTTAGATAGGCTATAGTTTACATGTTATATAGGGACATCCATATAATTAGATAGGCTAAAGTTAACATGTTATATACCTTAGATAGGCTAAAGTTAACATGTCATATAGGAACCACCTTAAATAAGCTAAAGTTTACATGTCATATAGGAACCACCTTAAATAAAATAAAGTTTACATGTCATATAGGGACCATCTCAGATAGGCTCTAGTTAACATGTCATATAGGGACCATCTCAGATAGGCTAAAGTTTACATGTCATATAGGGACCACCTCAGATAGGCTAAAGTTTACATGTCGTATAAGGACCATCTCAGATAGGCTAAAGTTTACATGTCATATAGGAACCATCTCAGATAGGCTAAAGTTTACATGTCATATAGGAACCACCTTAGATAGGCTAAAGTTTACATGTCATATAGGAACCACCTTAAATAAGCTAAAGTTTACATGTCATATAGGGACCACCTTAGATAAGCTAAAGTTTACATGTCGTATAAGGACCACCTCAGATAGGCTATAGTTTACATGTCATATAGGGACCACCTTAGATAAGCTATAGTTTACATGTCATATAGGGACCATCTTAGATAGGCTAAAGTTTACATATATGTCTACATATTACAAGAATGAAGGTCAATGTTATTTATTTAAACAACTTTGATAACCCTTGATACCTACAGGTCAAATACAATTACCTGGGACTTCTGGAACTCAAAAAGAATTTATTGAAAGATTTTAAAATATCAGACTCCTTTAAAGGGGCTGGTCGGGGGAAAAATAAAAAAATAAATGGGCCTAAATGCGTTCTCTGGCCTTCCAAAAGTTATACCACGGCAATATGATGGTCGAGTTCTTCTTGCAATGTCCAGTTTTGACCACTGAAATATTGGGGAAGCCCCGCGTAAATTTAGCAAAGATCTATTTATATATGTCACGTGGTTGTTTCGAAAGTGAGGCAGTGAAGATAACAACAATAGCACGCCGTCATGTGCCATGTCAGACTCAACTAACGGACAAGATAGCAATACTATACGTAAATAATTGTTTTCAAAGGTCATGTATGATGCAAGTGTAGTATTCCTACCTATATGTTGTTGTTATATATAACGGTATTGATACCTCGTGCCTGTCATGACTTTTACATGCATCTTTTTCTTTCGCCTCAATGTTTACATTTGGCCTTGTTGATGATGCGCGTGCGGTAAAATGACATCACTGATCTGGGTCAATTGAGAGTTTTAGACTGTCAGGTGACGATTTAGGATTTCTTTAATATAATTATAATTTTTACTCCTATGGAGTGAATTTCAGCAAAATTTGAATCGGTATATTTCATAAGAAGGTATTTTAAACATGTTTATGCCATTTTAGCAAATATGACATTTTTTCCGCGACCAGCCCCTTTAACCTTGAATAAAGGACAGGTTCATTTATTGGAATATATTTTATAGTCCTCTTTCCCAGATGCCTACTGGTCAAATAACCTAGGCCTTCTGGACCTTAATAGAATATGTAGTTTAAAGATTTTAACTTATTGGCCTCTGTGACCTTGAATGAAATTGATAATCAAGAGAACATAACTTGTGATGCTAGGTGAATGAGAGGATACACTGTTAGTAGTATTACATCTTACAAAGTTCCTTTTCCTTTTCCAAAACGGCAAATGAAAGATTTGGGTGGCGCAGAATAAGTTCTCTGGCTGTAGCTAATCCCACGACTCCACCGCCCACCACGACAACATCATAGCTGTCGGGACTGGCACTGCAGAGGAAAACGTAATCATAGTTATTCAACTATCTCTTACAGGACAAAATAGGTGGGTACAAAATAACATTTACTCCACTGAATACAATGAAATAAGGCTTTGATGTCTTTAGAAACTAGCATAATTTGTCCTTTCATTTTGTAGGAATTTTGTTCACATTGCACCAGATACATTTGTGAAATTATTCTAATTTTTACTATAATAATGAATGCTGGTTTTATTTTATGGCCGAACCATTCTGACCAATACTGAGGGGTAAATGAAAGAATGACTCGATGTCAATGATCATTTATTTGTTAGTAACACCTTAACATGCCTTGCATTAGATATTAAAATTTCAATCAAAACTGTTGCCATATATATATCAAATACAGTTGTTCATTGATAATGTTTTTCAAGCCCTGTGGCCATCATCAATCAATTACTTTAAAATGGCACCTGCAAGGCTTGAAAACGTACCTCAACGAAAAAAGGTCTTCACAAGATATATATATTTATCAGTATATAAGCATTGGAGCTGCATGCGTCATAAATGGGTCCTTTTCAAATTATATGAGGTCCTATTAATAGTTTAAATAGATTTATTGAAAAAAGAGGGGTCCATTGAGAAGGCGTAAAGAAAGCCATTATAAATAGTCCTGTCTGATCCCCCCCCCCCCCCACCCCCCCCCCCCCCCGTCCCTGTCTTCTCAGGCTTCAAAAGTTAATTAAAGCATTTCCTCTCATCAATCATACTGGCCTTTTCATTTTCCTCAGTTGGCTGTCTATGCAAATTTTTTTATGATATGTAAAAAATATGGGATCTGCAGGCTTTCATTGTAATTTCTGTAAACATTTACATTGAATAGTTTTTGCTCTAAAATAACTTGCAAACATACTGTACATTAAACTTCAGTGTAAACCAGACACTGTATGTGTGAAACTTCATAACATTTTAGAACCAGTCATATAATTATCTGATTCAGACAAAAAACACTTTATTACAAATTCCTGTTCTGTTTAATATTTTGAACCCTTTAGGGTTACATAAAGGGAAATAACTCTGGATACCTTAAATGATTTGCAAAAGTAAGTTTTTTAACAAATTTGTTATATTGGATACCAATAAATACAACCCTTTACTAATTTGTAATTGCAAGTTCTTTTGCAAGGGGGGGGGGAGGGGGGGACAGATCGTTGAAAGCCCTGGGCCCTCTCATCCGAACCTGATGAAGAATATAATTTCTGTATTGCAATGCACATAAATTGACCTCATCTCAGCCGATTCCCAGACATCTAACAGCATTAACAACAATGTTTAATTTGGCTGCACTAAGGTTAGAGTAAGGGGAATAACTCTGGATACCTTAATAAAAAAAATCTTTAATATTAAAAATAATTCACTAATGGAACGCGTTTTTTAAATTTGCCATGAAAGGTTTTGTTCGTGTTAGCAATAAAATGAAACTAATTTTGTAACTGAAAGTTCGTATATGGATGTATATCATACATGATACATCTATATATATCTAAGGTAAAATGAAAGTACTGCCATGACTACTTATGGAAGGGTAGTATTTCGACCAGATCGTGTCTAAGTCACAAATAAGGTATCAAAAACTGCAACTATTAGTTATTAAGTTCACTCAGGCACTCGAGATGAAGCTTGGCAATATAATGACAATAGACAGAATTGTTCCTTGACTTACGTGAGCGTTGAACATTACATAATCACTGATAACGAGTTCATAAACTGTGACCGCATATATTTACTGATGACAGGGTGTTTTGACAATACAGAAATATTCATTGATCACCTTTGTATATTTCTCCTCTGATGCACACAAGCTAAACTATTTAAACATCGTTGGTTCCATCTTTTCCCCATAAAAAGTGTCCTGTCCGTTAGGACACGAACCTTTGTGGAAGCTGCCATTGATAGAACCCTGACCAACGTAGACGCATGTATTTGATCGCAATAAGTACGACTTGTTTAAAGTGCGTATACCTTTCCCGTCGCTAATAGGGCTCTCGCGAGTTCTCGTTCGGTGTAATTTGCATATTCAATGAGCATGCTAGCTAGAGCGCTTCCTTCAAAACATACACAAGACAGGTGTGTCAGGATGGAGGAGGAATTAAAATGTCCTCGGTGTTCGGGATTTTTCTGTGACCCTCTTGTGCTTCCGTGCTCCCATTCTCTGTGTTCAGGATGTGCAGAAAAGATTCAGGAACCGTCACAGAATTTTATTTCCCAACTAGAGGACCCTTCTACACCTGTCATAGGTGATACGGAAACGAAAGACTTTCCCGACATCGACAAAGTTAGTCTTGTTAGTGAAACCGACAGTGGAGTTGTCTGTAACAGTAGGCCTAATAGCTATGTCGGGACAGCCAGCATATCAAACATATTCCAGGCAGTCCAGGGAAGTGTCTATGGAATTAAGTGTCCCGTCTGTAAGAAAAACGTTTTCTTGGATGAAAATGGTCATCATTCTCTACCCAAAAATAAAGTTTTGGAAATTATTGTTGATAAGTATTGTGGTGATCATAATAAAAAAGTCAATGTTTTTATTAAATGTGAAATATGTGATCAAGAAAACAAAGCAGCTTCTATCATGTGTGAACAATGTGAAGTGTTTTATTGTGAAAACTGCAAAAATAGATGTCACCCGTCTCGTGGATCTTTAGCAAAGCATAACCTTGTAGACCCAGTGCAAGGGAAAGCAATAATTCGTGCCAAAAATAAAGGGAAAGAGGCAAAATGTCGGGAACATATGGAAGAGCATCTTAGTATGTACTGTTTAGTTTGTAAAACTCCTGTGTGCTATGTATGTCACCAAGAGGGCCGTCACGTGAATCATGAGGTTCAAGCCCTAGGGGCTATGTCCAAATCTCACAAGGTAAGAATGCATCAAAGAGAAACGGATATAAAGGACCTGTCATCATTATGTCACAACCTTACTAGTCTAGTTAACCTTTTATTGTGATGGTGTGAACACCAATGATTACTATTGGGTTGGTGGACACCATGACTTCTCAATACTCAATCAAAGGAAACACCTACCATTGGCAAGCTATCAATAACCTATAAGCTTGATGTAGGTAAATCTGTATAAATGCATCATTAACACCTGGGCGACCCAGCTTGACAAGTCTGAATCAGAATGTAGGTTAAACTAATCAAATACTATGTTGTCAGTTACATGATTTTGTCACGTCACATTCTTGATATCCGTATTACGTGAATGAGTATCATTATGAAGACTTGAAGTAACATTGGATTGATGTTAGATGGTTTTCAAATAAAGTTCTGCATTTTTTATTTCCATGACAACACTATATAGGAGACTATTGTCTGTAAAACTGACAATTTTATGTTTTGTAGATAATATATTTTCTTCATGTCCGAAACTCCCTGAATAGTATATTTAATAACTAAGTATACAGGTATGTGTCCTCGACTAAACCCACATTGTTATGTGGTGACATAAAGTTGAATTTTACCTGTGTATTATCAAAGTCTGTGAGTATACTTAAACTAATGTTTTTAGTTCTTACGGGTGTGCGTGTGTGTATATTTGTATTTCGAAAGAACTGGTGGTATGAGTAAAATAGCTAATATTCATATACAATGTACACATTTTTTTCAACTTTAAATTGGTGTTCATGCAATCATAATTAATAATATCTATAATATGGTTAATATGTTCAAGAAATAATTAGTAAGAAAAGTTCATTACACTTCTTCTGTTGCGTGTTAATAAAAAGGATCTTCTCATAGCACAGCCTACCCTTTAATGCTGCTGCTGCAGCAGCTTCCAGTATCATGATGCTGAGACTACAGCCTTCATGTAATTCTACATCCTGTGATAGGATCTGGCTACACTTATCCAAATGGATTTACACCCTCGCCAGTCCTCCAGTCAACCCCTGTCTGCCATTCATACCAAATCACATGAAAAAAAAACTGAAAAAAGGAGAAATTGCTATCCCATCTGTGATTCATTTTCAGGAGTAAATTTTCTGTTGCTATTATAACTATCATGCATAAAACACTGCCTGTAAAAGGTACATATATAGTACAGATGCAATATTCAGTGGGTAACTATAAAACAAAAATGCACCAACATTCTCAATTCTCCATCGATATCATCGCCACTTTACACTTGATCGGGGTACTAGAGTTGTACTACTGACTGGGCAAGACATTGTGTGAAATATTAATGTATTGATATAGAAATATAGACAGGAACAATGTCCCCCATTGATTACACTGGTGTACGTCCTGGTACGAGCCGAGTTCGACAGCAGCAGATATGGATTAATTCATTAGGAACAAGGCCAGCTTTAATTTGTTTGCTGTAAAATGCTGTTTGCCTTTTCACAATCAATGATCATTATAGACAGCAAAAAAAATCAGCTATTGCTCAAAATTGATATCAAAACAAATTGTGGTGTGTAACCTGTGAGATTCCACTGAAGTTGACTAGAAATAGTTGTAAAACTGAAGTCTGCATGCAGTAACTGTTCTGTGTGTGATTAACCAGTTATATCTATATAATGCATCAAATAGAAAGAAGTAGAAAGATGGCAAACAATTCAAAAGTGTGTGCTCTTTTCTGGATGTTCTGTGGACCATTCAATCACCCATACATTTTTTATTGGGTACATTCAATTTATGAAATACAGACTTTTTCCATCTATCATAAAATCCATTACGTAGTAATTGTGGAGTGTCAGAAATAGCATCAGTAGCTTTTCTAGTGATGTAACATGGCGCCAAAGTTAAGTCCCAATCCCAGAATACAAAGTTAAGATTATTATCAAGTTTTCAATTTGTTCAAGTTTTCACACAAATCAACTTTTAAAATGCTTCTTAATAATTTTGTATCTTCAGTATATAGATGTGTGCAAACAGTATTCCATGTATTGTAAAACACTATGATGTTTGTAGTTTTATAATTAATTTTAATATGAACAAAATTGTTACTGACTTAGACTCCCATAGCGATCCCTAAAACGCTCAACCTTACTGTAGTTTTGTGTCCAGGGTCTATGTATACCCAGTTATATACATGCAGCCAGTGCTATGTCCTGGGCATTCATGAAAGTGTTGTCAAGCTCAAGCACGGTTTTTGTGCTCAAGCCTTATTTCTTGTTCCCGTTTTGTCAATGATTTGGAAAAAATGTGTGAATAGACTAAAATCTGAATACTGTTTTCAATGTTTATATTTAACTTTTTGATCATTTTACATGATTTAAACAAGTAACAAAAAAATGGTTTGAGCACTGTGTGCAGAATCCATTCTTGAGCATGTGAATGGTTTCATGAGTATGGGTCCTGGTTTTGACATTTCAATGAGATATCACTTTCAAACTGTCCACTGTGGACACTGTGATCAACTGGTTACATCACTTTATATATAACCACAATCAGTCAATCTATCAATCAAAGCAGCTATAATACTTTTGGAACTAAAGGAGACGTCCACATTTTTGACAGGAAATAAAACAAAATCAAACAAAGCATCGATCATTACTAAATATGGAATAAAATGTACATGCATGTGTCATGTTAGTCCAAGCTGAAGCGTATTTGTCAATAAGCTGTAATATAATCGAGCTAGCTAGCCTACTAATATTTCTGACTGTGTCATTTATCAAGTTATTAATATTCATGTATTTGTATTCATATCACACAGAGTGATAATAAGGCATTAACATCCAGNGGGGGGAGGGGGGGGAGGGGGTCGTTACCAATGGGTACCCTTAATCATATATATAACCATTATATGTAACTACATGCATATGCATGTTGTCATTTTGATGAACACTGTACATACATGTATATATTATATCTATATGTGTACTAATTCAATAAAAAAAAACTGGTGCTTATAAGCATAGTGGGAAAATAACGTTTTCATAATCTTTGGAAACACTCAAAAAGTAGCGATATTTGAGGCTTTCATAAAGTTAGTCCGTGAATAATGGTGAAGGATAGAAGACTCTTTTATTACCTTGAAAAGGATAGATGGTGCTTAAAACTGATGGGTAAGCTAATAAAGTTGGATAATTAAATATCACAAAGTGGAGCCTCAAAGTGTCAGCTGTATCATCATCTACAAGCTACAATTGTACATGAAACGCTATACATTATGTATGTATATCCAAGCTTGTGGTGTTTATATATATAACATGACTATTTTTCAACTGATGATGAAATAGTTTATATAAATTTTGAAGGTATTTTCAATATTAGGTGTAGATTTTCTAACATATGATTAAAGCTGTTTGTCACACATATACAACAAAATATGCAGACTAGACTAACAACTAAAATTTGAATTGGCACTCATGAAAGAATCATAAGAAACTTGTGAAAGTGTTTTCTTACTAAAATCACGGACTTAGATCCGGGGAAAGACAAACCTTGAATGTGCATATATAGAGTGTTTCGTTCTGGTGCAGGGTCACTGTAAAGGTGAACTTTATTGCTGACTAGCTCTGTGTTAACAATAAATCAATGTGTATAGCGACTGATCAGTAATGTAGGCTGGTATATACCCTAGCCAGCTATATCCCTGCTGTCTATCTCCCTATCTCAGCCCCTAGGGAACACTCCTCGACCTGTGACCTTTGATAAAAAATACACATGCTTTGTTTGATATGGCGAAACCTGTAATGAAAAACATTGAAGTGAAACAGGAATGTTTCATTTTATGCTATCAGGAAGGTTACAGAGGTCAACATCTGTCCACAAAGTAATCACTTACCTGTACTGTACGCACTGGTGCAGCAGTTATAATTAGGCTTGGAGGTTACAAAGGTTAACGGCTACCCACACTCGAACCACCAAGATAATATCAGTACCCCCAAAAAATAAAGTTACTTTATTGTGAAAGATTTTGAGTTTAGGGCAGAATTAAGAATAGTAGTACCAAGTTTGAACAGCTATATTTCTTTACTGAGATTTAAAGTTGTCTGTATTGACACACATGTAGGTTGATATTATATAGGGATCAATGGATGAGTCAGGTGCAGGGTACGCACACACCCGGAGGTTACCAGCCACAACTAGCCTGGCGCCAGGGGCTGGAGCACTAGATCCGCATTCAACATGTCAACAAACAAACTGGCTATTTGGGCCAGGTGAGGGGTAGTCATTAAATACAACCTCTTGTTTAAAGCCCCCCTCCACACTCTGTCACCAAACGCTTGGCAGGCACTGACGCCTTCTATTAAGACCCAAGACTTCACCAGACAAAACCTTTTCAGGCGTCCATAATGGAAACCTTAGTCACACAAGCTGTATTGTGATTATCCAATAAACGCTTGATTAGTTCATCATGACAAAAACATATATAAACCTGTACATAATGGGGTCTACTCTAGCATGCAAATGCTGTCTTTGTGCTGTATATAATGTTTTTAATGTTTGACATGTTGCTTTTGATTTAGTTATGCTAATTACATCATAAAATGAAATCTGTACTGTATTAGCATTTAATGTTTGAGTAATGTTTTATGCGACACCTGGAACTAAGACCACAGTGTTAAACTACATAAAGTAGATAATGATCTGGATTAATGTGCCTTTTACCATAACAGGGGGATATAGCGATATAATTAAATGTGTTATCAGATGTCGAGGGAACTAAACATGTAGATATAATTAGTAGCTCAGTGGGAGTTACACATTATACATGTGTAAGTCTCGTTAAATTAAGTATTGAAACAATTTGAAGATTGTATCACAGCATTCCACACACCTCCAGGAATGTTTGACATTTTTGTGTGGGATCTATGAATTGTGTTATTAATTTTCAATCTATATAAAACATATTCCACCTACAAGTTATCAAACATATCCCACCTACAAGTTATCAAACATGCCAAA